AAATATAAATGTAATTAGGAGCATCAAAACTTCCAAAGAAAATATAGAGAATTTGCAATTGTAGAAATCGCATAGTTTATCTAATGTATGGCTTTGCAATGTCAATGAGTAGATTACCTTTCCACTTCCAATTCAAGTTTTGTTTATGGAATAGCAAACATGAATTTTGATGCAAAGATGTCAAAAGAAATGCATGTCTCTTTGAAAGTGTTATAATTTCTTTCACTAAATATGTAGTGGTAGTGAAATGCATAGCCAACAAAAAGAACTTTATAGAGGTTTTGCAGTTAAGAGCATAAAAAAAAACCAAGATGTAATAAAGGTTAAAACCTAGGTTGAAAAAAATTCATTTAGGGATGCAATGTTTTAGTGAAGAGTGTTGAAGAATCTGCTGTCAAGAAAGCCGCAGGACAACAAAAAGGGAAAAGAAAAACCGCAAAGATAAAATGCAAACAAGAACACCGAGAATTTACATGGTTCGGTCCATAAGAGCTACATCCATGGGAGGGAATCAAGAAAAAATTCACTAAGACAATCTTAAAGATTACACCGCACAAAATTAAGGACGAACCAATCTCCTCAAGCTCTCTATCGATCTTGATCTCGATACAAGCTTTTTTGGTTCGAAGCTCTATCGATCTTGATCTCGATACAACCTTTCTTGGTTCCTCACCTTGCTCTCAGAATTCCTCTCTCCCTTTTAACCACTCATATACATCATTACATATATATAGAACAACGACCAATACAAGATGACCGGTTAAACACCTTTAAATAGCCAAATGACAGTTGTACCCATTAGCTATTTAAACCTCCTTATAAACGCGGCTTTGCCTTAGTTCGCATAATTGAAAGTCACCATAACAAATCTCCCTCTTGACTTCCAATTATATACCTCCATAATAGAGATTCCCTCCATCTAGCCCCGAGGGGCCCGAGCCATTGCCTCGCTTGACACATCTCTCAAAGCTTTGTCACCCAAGCTCAAGATTATCGCACTGTGAGCTCGGTCCAAGATGTTGTTCTTCTCCCTCTCGGGCATTTCGGGCGGTCCTTGTAATGGTTCCGCAACACCTTGCTGCACCAACAGAGCTCTCATCTTGACTCTTTATAAGCTGAAATCGTTCATTTCAGTGAATTTCTCGATGTCAAACTTAGCAGATCCCATTGTCGTGGCAAGAATTCTCACAGACAGCGCCAATTGTTGCAGAATTTGTTGTAAAAAAAACTGCAGGACAACAAAACGGAAAAAGGAAAACCGCAAAGAAGAAATGCAAACAAGAGCACCGATAATTTACGTGGTTCGGTCCATAGGACCTACATTCATGGGAGGGAATCAAGAAACAATTCACTAAGACAAACTTGAAGATTACACCGCACAAAATCAAGGACAAACCAATATCCTCAAGCCCTCTATCGATCTTGATCTCGATACAAGCTTTCTTGGTTCCAATCTCTCCATCGATTTTGATCTCAATACAACCTTTCTTGGTTCCTCACCTTGCTCTCATAATTTCTCTCTCCCTTTTAACCCTTCCTCTCAACTCATATACATCATTACATATATATAGACATATATATAGACCAATGACCCATACAAGATGACCGGTTAAACACCTTTAAATAGTCAAATGATCGTTGTACCCATTAGCTATTTAAACCTCCTGATAAACACGACTTTGTCTTAGTTCGCATAATTGGGAGTAACCATAAAAAATCTTCATCTTGGCTTTCTTGGCGGCAGATTTCACAATAAAGAGAATAGAATGTGGCATTCAAAAAATAATGAGAACGAATCATACTATGTAAATGACAAAGCACCCATTGAGGGTTGACCTCAAACCCATGGTAAAGAATGATCTCTTTGGTTTTCACGCTGCCAACACGACTATCCTAAGCTGACAATGCTAATTTAAAAGAATGACCTTTGAACCGAACTGATTTTCTCCTTCCTACTCTAGGATGGTTTTTATATGCAAAGGAACAGATGAATTTATGAGAATAAAATTGTTTCCCTTCCAATGTATCTCAAATGAGAATTTCAGAGATACTTTGAAAACTATGGTCATGAAAATGAGTTGTGGCGGGCAAAAAACAATTTTTATAAACAATAATATCCAAAATTTTTGTATTAAGATGATAAAGAACGAGGAGAAAATAGATGAGCGGTAAGTTTTATAAGGATTTAAGCCTTTAGGGTAAAACAAAAAGAAGCTTGCCATGACAGTTAACCATGAAGGATAGGCATCTTCTTTAGTTAAGATCCATTTACACAAGATTTTTTCAAAACGATGATAAATTATGATTATTTTATACAAATAGATGTCATTAGTGTTGAGGCGCCAAGAAGATAGTAAGAGTTGGAATTATAGACCTTCACTTAAGCTTGGATTTACACATGAAGTCAAGAGTGTTAAAATTTGGGAGATTCATGCTTCATAATTCATAAGCTTAGACAAGAATTATAAACCTTCACTTAAGCTTGGATTTACACATGAAGTCAAGAGTGTTAAAATTTGGGAGATTCATGCTTCATAATTCATAAGCTTAGTAGTAGTGTTCCAAAAAATATTGGGTAACTTGTTAGAAGTTTCATTATGGTGACGAGATTATTAATTATGGAAGATAGCTTCTTTCTTAAACCTTTGGGGGGAAGATAGCTTCTTTCTTAAACCTTTGGGGATAAAAACGATATGAAATTAGTAGTGAAGGAAGTTCCATATGGTCAATTTGTTCAATTGGAATCTACCAGCAGAGGTAAGCAATCTTTGTTTCCAACTAACCACCAAACAGTTTTATTTTTTTAATTTTAGTGCAAACAAGTGCTTTAATTAGAAGGACTTATATTGATACCCAGATGTTCCAAGGGAAGAGGCCTATGCTGAAAGCCAAGTACAACAAAAATCAATTAGCTAGATAGAACATCCACAAATTTAGAGAATCATATAATTGATTTGTTTCTGTTAGCATAAAGATTGTTGGCTCTTTCGAAAATTTGTAGAACTTTGAAGATGCAGATGCTAGTACTTCGGTTGGTGCTTCCAAAAAAAAAACAATAAATCATCAGTATATATGAGATGAGAGATACAATAATTGTTCTTTGTAACACCGGAGAAGATTGGGTTAAAAGCATCAATGATGAAGGTGAAGAGTTAATGGGGATAAACGATAGCCCTGTGAAAGTGCACATGAATGTGGAAAGTAACTTCTTAGTTCCCTATTGATAATAAAATAAAATGCACTTGAATAGCCCAAGCCTTAGTCCAATTTATAGAAGTATGGGGCAAACGCATAATTCTAAATTTGCATGCATAAACTGATGTTTCACATTATATTTGGATTTTTTAAGGTAGATCTTGGAGCAAAGGGACTGTTAAAAGAGTTAAAACCATAAAGGAGCGAGTATGCTAAAATTATATTATTGAGAATATCATGACCATATATAAAAGCTGCCTAGGCAAGATGTATGAGAGATGGGAGAAGAGCGTTTAACCTATCCACAATATGGAGATAATTTTATAAAGAGTATTACAAAGAGAAATGTGTTTGTTGTCAATAAGTGATTCATCATAAAAATTTTGAGGATAAGAATAATGGCTGAGTTTTGACCCTACTAAGAAAGTTAGATGACAATAAAAAAAACTTCGTAGCATCAATGACGGAGAGGCCGGAAATAAACTAGATAACTTTAAAAAAATTTAAATGTGAGACCATCAAAACCTTGTGTGTTATTAAAATACATGCAAATACAAATAGACATACAATCACTTACCCTAAGCTTTTTTAAGGAAACAAAAAATAAAACAAAAAAAGTGGACTATACCTCTCATTAAGTTTTCAGAGTGAGATACATTTTTCTCATGTAAATAAATTTATGTCACCACAATGTTAGGAATGTAAATATCAAACTTCTTGTAAAAATTATATGGTATATATGTAGATTTCACTTAATAATATTGTTTTCAGCAGAAAATAAATTTCAACTAAATTCGTGCCATATGTTTTCAATGCCATCTCATAAAAATCTTTTGGATCTTAACTCTTCACCTTTATTAAATTATTGTCCTTTATATGTGACGTTTATAAATTTCACTTTTAATGGGTTGGCTGACATTTTATGTACGTTTAAAGAGGAAATACTGAATTTAAAATTTTAAATAGATGGCCATGGTGTAACTACTTATATTTTTAATTCTCTGTATGCATTGTTTTGATTTGATATGAAACAATAACCATGTGAATCGTTTTTTTTTTTTAATAATTAGACAATTGAGATTACAAATAAATGTCGATATCAAAGTGGAGGTTTAAAGAAGATAATATGCACGTCATGAAAATAATAAAATAGGACTGCCTTTTAGAATGTGTAAAATTAAGTGATGAAAAAAACATATTAACGATTTGATCTAAAAAACCATTTACTCTTGAATACAATAATTATATGCTAATGATTTTCTCTCTTGGTTTACTTTCATTTAAACTATCATAAGTGTTATTGTAGTTTGTTTTATCAACCTAACGTATGAAATCAATAATTATTTTTTATTCAATTATCGATCTGATGACAGGAGATTAAGTAGAAAAAATATTTCGTCTGGACAACATACATCCGGAAGAATGTGATGCAATCCAAACTGTCATTTCAAAATCTGAACAATGCATATAATATTTTCTCATGTGATCCCAATTGGCTTCTTAGCTTTGATTCAGATTAACATCAGTTTAATAAGTTTTTATTTTTTATTTAACAAACTCCTAAGCCTATTGGATGAGAAGTTAGGCTTTTAACTAAGAGATCATCGATTTAAAACCTTAAATATGCACTATGCATGTCTTTAAGATTAAATTCACTCAATTGTCCAAAATTGGAAAACAAAATCACTGTGGATTGAAAACATTGGTTCTATGTGCAAACTTCAAGAGTACACAATTATATACTTAAGGTGTAGTCCATTTAATCAAACAACAAAGTTATGCACTATTATGCACTCGTCGTGTACTCCATCTTATGCACTATTATATACACGTCGTGTGCTCCATTTAAGTTGAAGTACACGATCATAAGGTAATTATAGCCAATCACATGCCCAATCATGTGTTGCAATTTGGCCAAAAAAATAAAATTACAAAACAAGCACTCGCACCAACAAAAGCATAAATAATGTTCATACTGTGACACATTTTTAGAGCAAAATATCAAAAAGGTCACAAAAGCAATTAAAGAAAAAGGATATTCAAAACTGTTAAAATCAAATACTTTACCAGAATTCTCATACCAGAAAATATATTTGAAATGGACAAATGAAAAGATCATTCAATCCTTTGATGGTAGGTATCGAGGATATAACGGTTCAACCGATCTCCAAATGTGTTGGTGGAGAACATTTCGGTAACATGGCGCCGAGCTTCTCGGCCCATCCTTACGGCGAGCTCACCATCGGAAAGGAGGCCGGACATAGCCTTCGAAAATTCTAAAGGGATTGGTTCACATAGAAAACCTGTAAGCTCATGCTTGACTGTCTCAACGGGGCCTCCGCTGTTGCATGCAATAACAGGCTTCTGTGAAGCCATTGCTTCCAGGGGTACGATACCGAAATGTTCATTCTACAAAAATATTCATAAGGAGAAGAAAAAATAATGGAATCTTTGCATACATACCACTCAATTCCTATGTAATTACATATATAAAACCTATATATATATATTATATATATATGCATCCTTAATTATGCATGAAAAGGTGTACTTCAATAAGTAAAAGTAAAAATAGTGGTATTTGGTATTTTTTATGTGATATGAAAGAATTTGGTGGTATAAATGTAAAAATAAAGTTTAGGTGTTATATGTAAACACATGGGAATAAAGTGGCATGTATGTAAATGCCTCAAAAATAATAAACTGAAGATAGCATGACAAAATATAATAGATTTAAAAAGATTTTCAAAAAATATATTTGAAATCTCAAAAGGCACTCAACAATAATAAATGGAGGAAGAGATCATAAAGATCATAAAGCTAGCCCCAAAAAGTTGAGCAATATGCTACTATTGTGGAAGACAAAAAAGCAAAAATAAAAATGTTTGTTTGGATGAAAAATTACACAGCTTTTTCTCTACTTCATTAAATTTTACAACAAAATATGTTTTGAAAGAAAATAATAAGATCTATAATTGAGAAGGTAACTTCGAAAAAGTTCTGAACATCATCCAGAAAGTATAAGCTACTCCAAACGAATAATGACGAGAAAGAAATTCGAAAGAATTGATAAATATTTCATTATTTTGGCTTCACAATAAGATAAAACAAATAAAGAATATAAAAAGCGAAAGCAGGGTTGGCAATCCCCTGCAATTTTCTATGATATAAATTGCTGCTAAACCTGGAGAATTTTCTTTTGGCAGATCTATCATATTTGATCTTCAAAATATGAAAATTAATTAGATCTTAAGCCAGATTATGGTTCAAGTATAACTTCAAAGATGACATGGAATGTTTAGGCTTAACAATTGAATGATGATGTGGGTGTCACGTGCCAACTTGGTCGCGATTAATAAGGGCCTTAGAAGTTATAGCCAACATTTTGGATTCACTCTTCGCCTACGTCACAATAAACTCCCATTTTGCAGACTTTCGGGTGTGCAAAACAAACATTTATTTATTCATCTTGTACGTAAAACAAAAAACAAAAAAAGTGGGAGAGCAATGTGTTTCTTGAAGACAGAAATGAATGCATATCTAAAAGAGTAGAAGTCCCAACTAACCTTTGGAGTGTACAAAACACAGAGACATTGGGAGAGCAATGTGTTTCTTTCTTGTGTTGAGCAGGAAGTCACAAAATTGACCCTATCTGACACTCCTTGGACTTCTGCCAACATTTTCAGCTCTTCAAGATACTCCACATTTTCCTTGAGACGTCTATCAAAACCACCTTAATAAAAAAGGGTTCTTTTACAGCAAAATACTCATCCCGTGGTAATAAAATATATGGAAAAATAGACATTTTCTCAGGAAAAAATAAAATGCTGCTTCACACCACTTGTATGAAACCATTTAAACATGTAGGTATACGCTGGCATACTTTATGTTGCCCTCCTTTAGAGGGCTGCAAAACAATTCAGTCAAAATTTCAGGTGATGTTAGACATTTGGAAAAATTTTGCGCTGCACACTTTGTCAAGATGTCATCAAACTACAACAATAACTTTGGACAAACATACTTGAGGATAAACTTTAAACAAGCAAAATGCTTAGGGATTGTTTGGGATCACTTCTGATTTTTTGTTTATGTTTTGTTTTGTTTTGTTTGTATTTGTAGTTTAAAAGGAACATGCTTGGCATGCCATAACTTTTAGATGTGTTGAGTGTTTTTAAAAATAAGTTAATTTCTTTCGAAAATAAAAAACAAAAACATAAAAAAATACACTAAACAAATATGTTTTAAAATAAAAGCAAAAATAAAAAAGAAGAAGCAAAAAATTAGTAATTGAACAAAAAACATCAAATTATCTCTATGGCATGCTCAAGATGTTTTTAGATTCTAGAAACCACAAGTTGAGTTAAGAACAAATAAGTACGAATATCACTGCACTACTCTTCGAAAAGTACAAAAGAAATATACAGAAATAGCACAAAAATCCCTTGAATGGCATTAATAAGGCTTCACGCATATACTTTCCAAAAGGATCAATATGCATTCAAAGTCTCGGGTTAAATACCTAAACTAAATGTATATGTTAAAGATAAACATTTTCAAAATGTATGTGCCTAACCCTATAATACACAAATACATAACCTGTAGGAAAAAGACGAAAGAGCTTCTTTTCAAAGATGTGAACTTTCAACCAACAATAGTGAAACATATGGAAGTGAAAAAGTCAAAAAATAAAAAAATGTACAACTAACTATCAACATTCTAAAATTACAATTACCCAACAAATTCTGAAATAATTCCAATATTGTGGTAAGGCCTATATATTTTTCTACAATTATATATATATATATATATATATATACAGGAGCACATATATATATATATACCAACAAAAAATTAACAAAATGTCACTAGAGCACAAACATTCAGAAAATATTCAAGAGCGCGCTAATTTTCTTAAATTTGAGGGATTCCATTTTTTTGGAGTGTAGAACTTCTAACTCACTTAGATGCCTCTGCCCCAACGTGAGGAATTATCGAATTAACATTAAACTAAAATTACTCATAAAATATTCTAAGGAGCTAAAGAATCTTAAAATTGAGGTACTTTCAATGATTGGAGAGCATATAAAACTTCTCATCTAACTTAGGTGCTCCCATGGGGGATAAAATTGTTAAAATACCCTAAAAACTTGAATAATACATTAAATATTCCTCGATGGTAAAAAAATTATAAAGTTGCGAAGAGAAAATTTCCTTAACAATCTAAAGATACTGAGACACCTATTAAACCAAAATAAAAACTTCTACAAAATGACCAAAATATGTGAGGGACTTCCATATATTCCAAAAATATTCCTACAGTTCTGAAAAATTATGCAATTCAAAAAGCTTCTTGCTTTAATCGCAATAATGTGAACAACTTAAATGCCCTCATATGGTTTCTTCAAAATTATCAGTAGTCCAAACTACTTTGTAAAACACTCATTCATAACAGCCTCCAAGCCATAGAGGGTTGTGAGTTCCATCAATGTTGTTAGACTTCTAATACAAACCTGTAGAAGTTAGAAGTTCAGTAGACACAAATGGAATTCTCTAGCTTTCAAAATCAAAGTCAAACTAGTAGGATACTCAATCTATAATCAAGAGTACTGCTAACAATGAAGATAATAAAGTAGATAAACTAAAGAGTAATATTGACAAAACTAGGACCCCAAATGTTTAGGTGTACAACATACGGACACTAAACTATATGCCATTATTATGCCTAGGGATTGAAGCTCGAGCTAATTCATCAAGTTGGCATTCCAAACAATCAAAGATAATAAGAAATAAAGAAAATAAACCAACTTTTTGGAGTTTGGAAAGTTTGACTGTCCCAAAAAACAATGAGCAGGTTTCGATAACACGTTAATAGCACAAATCATTGAATATGTAAGCATGCTAAGATGATATAAGCCTTACGAAACACACCATGCCCCAATCTTACGTAAACATAGAGTTAAAGGTAATAGAATAACTGAGAGCACAAGTTAACTTAATAGAAAACATGTTAATGCACTATGGACAAATTCTAGAAAAACAAATTCAGAAGGCAAAAAAGGAAATGATTAGCTTTATCAATGCCATTATGAACTATTTTGGAACCATTAGCTAAAGTAACAATAGGGGGAGAAGTAAAATTTAAAATATGAGAAAGAAGACATTGTTTACCAGAGACAAAATCAAAAGCATCATGGTCAAGAACATAGAGTTCATGCGATGACTGAAAAAATAATGATTGAGTGAGACGAACAATTGAGTTAATTCTTTGAACTATTGAGACAATTGGTGAAAAGGATTATTTAGCAGCCCACAAAAGGTTTTAGAAGATTGATGATCGTCTAAGGAATCCATAGGATATGTACTAAGATAGGCAGTATGCAAATAAAAAACACAGGCAAAGCTGAACAATGATAATGATTATCGCAAATACATTATAGGCAACCAAAACGGTGCACGTAAGGAGACAAATTTAGGGAAGGGCAGCAGCCCAGAAAAGCAAGAGGAGCTGAGAAATGTAGCAAACGAGAAACACATCCTCTATAAAAGAATAAAAAATATGTTGAAGAACATAATCCTTATTAGTTCAAAGGCTAAGCATTGTAAGAGGCATGAACAGTCGTCCCCTTTGCTTCCCTTGTAGTATCAATGATATGGTCAACAACTAGTTAAATTTCTTCATTATAGTTCAAACCATAAATGAAAAAATATGCACATCCTTATAAAGTTTTTCAAGCCCGATATCAAAGAGGACAACCCAAAACAAAGTGAGGCCTGCCATAACAGCAAATACAAATACGACGACTTCATGATTTCAAACAACAGCAAATAAAACTACAAATACTATTCTGATTACAATCAAATAAATAAACATTAAAGAATAATAACGTTTTCCATCCTCATGTTGCCCTGTCACAAGCAAGTTGGGTCTGCCAATGAAGTCAAAATGCCAGAATTAACATGAACTTTGAACAAGTTTTTAAAAAAACAGCCACACATTTTCAGTTAATTCTCAGAATAAGCTGCAATTAAATCCAATCTCCATAATAACCTTTAGTTAATGTAATATACAAAAAAAAGTGAAAGCTTAATCAGCATCTTTTGGCATTAAATGTTCTGTCAAATATTTTTTAATTTCTTACTTCGTCAATTTTACTACTTGATAAAGGCCATAGATGAGGAGCCACTTAGTTTCAAAAATCTACTAATCCTCGTATGAGTAATTCCAAGCAAAAAATCTATTGTGCCACAGATTTCTCTCTTTTGGCCTTCAATGTATCTCTTTTGGCCTTCAATGTAACAGTATATGTTAACGTTAAATAAACCATTTTATCAACATTGTTAAACAATTTTGACCGACTCCGGAAACATACCAGCAATTGTCAAAGTTGCCTCACATGAATTAGTGCCAGAAGAAGAAAGTAATGCAAATGCTGAAATTGCCAACTGCAGGTTCTTTTTTCTTTCAAAACGATTAATTGAAAGAAAATTGGGCCTGCAATAAAATTAGTAATTGAGATAAGAATCTGAAATAAGATATCAACAATTAAAGCTTTTGCAACTTTCTGAAGTGACATTGAATGTTAGTTACTTATAGCTACATTGGCCACTGAATTGCTCCACGTTAACTGCTGGATACAGAACAGCAGGTTCTATTCCTCTCAAATGAAGACCTTGAAAAGTAGTGGCAAAGGTAGATTTTGTAAATTTACTATTAACAAGAATCAAATTTGCCATACCTGCAAATTAGCCAAGGTACTTACCAAATGAGAATGCAAAATAAACAATGATTGCAGAGTTAAGTGATGAAATCAAAACTAAATAAAGTAAAACAGACCAGTAGTCTTCTCTTCAAGCAGGTCAATCGGTTTGCGATACATCCTTCTAAGCCATGTGGAATGTTGTGCAAGTAGCAAATCTGGAAAATGGCAGTAGAATATTACCTAAGAAATAAACCAAATTAAACAAAATAAAACAGAGACGAATATTTTCAAAATAAAGTAGGTGGAGAGGTTACCTTCGCAGACCTTTTCAATTTCATTAGAGGAATAACCACAGAAACCTGGTCAGCCAGCACAATGTCGAATGATGGCCACATGAAAAGCACACAAAGGGCTACAAAAATACATCGAAGATATGCACAGACAGCATGAAAGGAGTAGAGAATATGGCGAGGCAGGAAACTACCATAAACTGATACTTTAAATTTTCCTGAACAAGAAGCAATCACAGGAATAAGCCACATTATTAACCAGACAAGCAAAAAATGAGAGAAATTCAAATATGTGCAAAAAAGTAGAAGAAAATACAGCATGAATACATATAAGTATGTTGTAACGAACATTTTATTTAAGTGATTGATATAATGGCATATAACATGATTAATGATGATGCTGAAACCATATGGTAGAGAGCAAGTGACAGGTAAATTGGTTTAATAAACGGATAATATTCATGTATGAAGCATATATCCGAGTAAAGACAGCGAGAGCATGATTAAGATTTCCTTGAATGAATTTTATAGGGATAAATTTCCAACTCTAATAGCTAATAACCATTCGTCCATAGTAAACTTAACCACTTCAGAAGGATATATTACGAATTTAATTTCAATATAGTCAAGCCCTAAGTATTTCTGTAAACTATACAATAATAAACAATAAATCTCAGATAAACGATAATTAAATTCTTGAGACTAGTTAAAAGAAAGAATTGAGAAGGAATACATTTTTACTAAATTATCAAAATAATACAGGCATGCATATATTAATAGATATGATACAATAAAAAAGAATATCCTCAATAATTAGGAAACATTGAAATACTACAAATTACATATTCTTACTATAAATCAACTAGTGCATGTAATAATTTAAATTAGTAAGACTCCCCAACAAACACCAAGTAAGAAAGAAGATGTTATCCTGAGTTTGAAAATAGTAACAAACAGAAATCTAATTCAATTCTTTATGTTACCCAAAGATTATGAGCACGGCAAAAGGAGTGTGATTGATTGGTCAAAGAGATAGCAATAAGAATCAAGCACAAGAAAATCACCAATGACATCCATGTCAGAGAAAACCATAATAAAATACTTGAATAAACAAAGTATCAATAATAAGTGTTGATAGAGAGTATTGAAGGAGTGTTAATAGAGATCATGGACATATTGAGGACAAAATGTATCAACACAATCGCCAACAAAGAGCAAGATAAAGGTAGATGCATATAGATATGGTCCAAATGCCCCAATCGTCAACAAAGAAGTTTATAAGCTCTAAAAATTCAAATTGAGAAGAGGAAGAACAATGAGCTTGTTTCTGTTGCATGTTAATCACAATTTAAAGAAAATTATACCAGCAAAGATAAATTCGTAACTCTAATATCATGTTATAAGAAAGAAACGGAAAAGGATTCCATCTTCATTAATTTTAATAATAATAAAAGTAAATATCTACTAATATATAAGCAAGAGAAGAGAACAATAAAGTGAAAAATCCAATAAAAAAAATATTCACAGTATTGAGAAAAATATTAAAATAATAAATAATACACGCTCGTATGATAAATAAATACATGTGATAATTTAGATAATAACATGACTAGCTCTACTCATGCTTTCTAGTTAGAATATTTTTCTTCAAAGCCATTTTCAAGCCAAATGCCCCTTGAGAATTCTCTAAAAATCAAAGGATTAAAAAAAGGGCAGTAGTAAGCAATCACAACATTTCTTCTAGAGGAATAGTATATTATTTTAATGTGGGTGTGCAACATGAAGCACAAAACTCCATAAAGAATCATCATCCATTTTCAATAAACAAAAAAACTGCAGCACCTCACCAGACAAGGTTTCCTCGAAGCAATGGCTTTTGTCATGGTGAGCAGTTAAAACATGAACACTGTGCCCATGTGCAGCAAGTTCAACAGCTGCATCAACTATCAATCTTTCAGCCCCACCTACATACAGAAAAAAGAAAAAAAAAACCTTGTTAGGCAAGTTAAAAACGCAGAGACCACAACACTTGCAAGGAGGAATTGAGCATGACAGAGAAAATTTATTGCATCCCGGTGTAATAAATAGAAACATCCTGCTAAACCTGTATATATGTTTCTTTTCTGCAATATATGCTCGTACCTTTTTTTCTAAGATGAAAGAAAATGTTAGTCAATAGCATCGCCTTTCTTAGATTCTGTGCTAATTGACAACAATAACAACAAGCCTTTATCCCCCTAAGTGGGGTCAGCTACATGAATCCTTTTTTCTAATTTGACTCTGTGCTAATTGTGAGCTAATAAAATTATCATTTACATAATTTTAAAAAAAAAAAGCTTGCCGAAACAAAGGAGGAAACAGCAAAACGCAGGCAAGGAATTTGAATCTTACAAAACGAAGGACAGCATTAGATGTAAAGCATCACAGTAATAGTTATGTTATATAGCATGTGAATGAATATCTGTCTAAACATGAAATATAAGTTTTGCTTTTTTCCATTAAGAAAATAGCATTTCAGCTCTGTTATTGTGATATTAAACTGCATTTCATAAAAACTTTCAATGAAAAATCTAATATTTTATTTGCATTAAAAATCTAATATTTGACAAATGCATTTTTCCCAAACATAATGCTTCATGTCGTCAACCCTACTTCTACTTCATCAGCCAAAAGGCATGCTCACAGCCTCCAGAACAAAAGCATTGTCGCCTAATGTATGACTGTAAGCTCGTGCAGCACTGTTATCAAAGAACCATAGTTTCTTGTTCAAATCAATACTGATACAATTCAATAGACTTAACGAAAATTCGGTATAACAAGGCAGGAATTCTCTTGTTTTATGGCATTTAAGTGGCTTCCTATGAACTCTGATTCATCCCATTAGATTCCTGTATGGAAAGCATGTAAACCCAGCTTGATTGTATACTTGTGCAAAAACTGTGCATAGCAATGCCCACTGCTCCACTAGACGAGTTATTCCAACTCCAAAATTAGTTCCCCGATTAAAAAAACTAATCTAAAAGCGCGAGTATGTGATTTTATAAAGCAACTATTTTCTTCAATAAAAGAAAAAAACATGCTTGTATGAAAAAAAAAAAAATTTAAAAAACGTTATTTTAGAAAGGGGATCAAGATGCATACCTATTCCAAGGTCAGGATGGATGATGGCCACTTTTAGCTTCCTGCGCCCTTTACTCTCCATGCTCTCTGCGCCTCTCCAACTTCAGTTTTTTCTAACGGGAACTGCATAGAGAAGCAAAGAGTTCAACTTTGCTCGGATGAAATCCAGGGAGAGAAAACGTGATGCGAATTGAATCCGTGATGACCAAAACTATAACCTATATAACTTGAATCTTTATCATCAGAAACCCTAGTTCACCAGCGATGCCCGCAACACAGCGATGGCTATAACCCCTAGAATATCTCTTCGTAAAGGCGGAATTCCAACCGAGAAAAGGAGGGACAAATACGGAGTGCTGCGAGAAGGAGACCTAAGGGGCTGGGAAGAAGGTAGCAGGACTAGAGAAGGATTTTAAATTTTAATAATTTCCTATAGAGAATTATTTCAGCACCAAATTACTAATTTATGTCTAATTTGATCTTTCAGCACTTTACCCATATGTTATTTATTAAATCATTTATATGAAATTTAGGAGCTCTTTTGATTTTTTAGCTCATTTAAATATTAGTTCATAAACAAATCAAATATAAATCAATTTCATGCATTGAAAATTTTAAATAAATTAAGCTTGAACAAGATGTGAAAGCACAACACAAGTCCGAGTCGAACATGAATAACTTATAAATGTATCAAGCCAAGTATATTCTATGATATTGCTCGATTACAACCCTGATCAAGATTATCTTAATAACAAGTCAAACAAATTTCAGGGTTTAATCGCCTTGGAATTTGATGAATCTGAATTTTTAGGATTTACTAAATCCCATTCAAATTGAATTCTACTTACAACCAAACAACCCCTTAGGGCTGTTTAGAATCACTTTATTATTGTTGTTATATAAAACATATTTAATTAGTATATTTTTATTTTTAAAAATAAATTAATAAACTTTTAAGAATACTCAAAATAATTTTAAATTATTTTGAATATTTTTAAAAATAATGGTTATTTAATCAAATTGCAAAATGCTTTTTATTTCAAATAAAAACATAAAAAAAGTTTCCTAAACATACCCTTTTAAATTCCACTTTTCTTTCCGGGAAGCCTTAATTGATTTGATATACCAAAAGAATCAAAGTAAAAAAAATATATAATTGAAATATTTTAAAATTATTAAAATGTGTGTTATTTTAAAAAAAATGTAGTCAATATAAAACCCATGTTGTTAGGCCAGAGCCAATAACAATTGCAGTGGATGGCAAGCAATAACACAGATCAACTGTACTAGCAAGCCGCTGCACTAGCCGCGACAATAGGCGGGAGTCCATAACAAGAGGCGATTGTCGACAACAGTGATTGAGGTCTAATGCCCGTGCGCTGCCCAATGAACAAGAAATAATGAAAAACATCAGGAAAATAGTGGTCACGAGTGACAATAATTAGAGTCTATACAATGTAATTTGTAATCAGCTCATGTTAGAATTCATCATTTTGGACTAATTTGTGAGTTTTATTTCACCAAAACTTTTACTAAAGACAACCGAACAACCTCTTATTAATTTCGAGCATTGGTCGGACTTAACCCGAGCGCATGAGCGCCCTTGGAACTCTCCTCTTCTCCACATGCTTAAACATGCCACCACATAACTATCAAATGGACCATAAAATGGGATAGAATTGATCGGGCATGTTGGCTATACTTATAATAAATTAGCTTTTTTGTATGGTTGAAGCATTTTTAAAAGTTGTTATGGCCATATTTAAAAAAAAAAAGATAAAATCTTTCCCACAACTATTGCAATATAATATATTTAATTGTTAAAAGCAATTTCACTAGAATTTTTTTCTAAAAATAATAAGATAATGATAGTCAATTTGAAGTATAAATGCAAGCTAAAAAACTAAGATAATAAAAATTTGTCTCAAGCAATTCTTAAATCAATGATCATATTGTTAAAAACATATTATGGAAAATTGAATTTAAACTTCAAAATTATTTGGATATTAAATTTTTTTAATATAGTAAATAAATGAGTTAAAATATTATTATGAAAAGAATGATAATAATTTATTAGGATAATCAAACTTAAATTAATTTTTATTATTATTTATGCTTGTTATTGTACATTTACTGGGTCTAAAAAAGAAGATTTTTTGTGTGTGTTATAAAATGTGAATTGATTGTTATTAAGATTTATGTCATAGTGTGTATATACATGGATGAAAATAGGAGTATACACATAAAACTGAAAGATTATTCATATGAAAATTATATAAAAAAAATATGATAACTAGAACATATCCATAATTTTGGGTTTAAAGTTGTAAATATTTGCCTTCTCTAATAAATGAAGATGATAGAGTATAATGGTCTCATAAAATGTTGGTTGAGAATGATGAAGGGTGATAATGCCATAAGGGATTGCTCGCTTTGGTTTATAATGTTTCCAGAGTAAAATGACAAGCGACATGAGTTGAATGTTGACAGATGTTGGGAGACCATATCGATCATTATCCTTACAAAAGTGAGGGAAGGACTATAAAAGGTGGAAAATAGCTGAATGAATAACATACATTCTCTAACCTGAGATGTCCCCACTTTATTGAAACAAAAAAAATAAATAAATAAATAAGAAGGAAGAGATAAATATTTAGTCCTAGTGTAAGTTTTCTTTTAACAAACAATCAATTGTGATGTATGGGAAAATAAAGTACATATAAAAAGAAAATCTAACATCACACACATTATCTTCAAAACATATTTATGAAATTTTCATATATATATGATATTCAATATTAAAGTATTATTAACATTGATATATATTGGAAACCATGTGAGAAGCTCTCAAGTTTTTCGGTCTATTAGGAAAAACATAGGAACTTGTCGTTATGTTTTATAATTGTTATAAATCCTTTCTCGATAAGGTTTGATGACATTTATATACATTAAAATGCATTGCATGAACACATACACTGACATATGAATTGAGTGTACATTACACTAACATATTAACTCTTTACAAAAATGAACAACATTTTCTAAGATAGGGAGCAATCAGGTATAAAGATCAATCAACGTTATCTAATATGGGATCTAACATATTCATTAAGAAGAAGAGAAAAATAAGAAAAAATGGGACAAAGTTAAGGCATCAAATAAATTTATTTAGTGACAAAAAAAAAATGGGATAAAGAAAATAAAACTAAATAGAGTGAAGCACTCATTAAACAAGTATTGTGCTCAAAATTTGCTCAAGAAAATTCCATAATACACACCACACTGCGCATTCAAGTGTTATTAATGTTGATATACTTTGAATACCAAAAGCTCTCACAAACATGCCTTCACTTCCTCATAGGACACTTAAATAACACATTTCAATCATGAATCCTCTTAAGTGAATATTGAACATCAACTTCAACGCATTAAAGAAGCATATGATTGAAGGAATGCATTATAATTACCAAATAATTAGGCATATTTTGTACGGACACACAATTGTATGATTTTTATTATCTACATCATTAATTGGGCAAAAACCCCACTAATATTTGAGCCAATCCAAAGGATGGAGTTGAAGAAGCATAAAAGAACATTGTTGAAGCGCGCTCTTACAAGTTTTATTGAAGTGCAAGTTGTATCATTGATTGTATAAGCATTGTATTATTAATTATATGCATGCTACGACCAGCCCTCTACCATTATTTCTTATTGTAATAGCTATGTAAATGTTTGTGTTAGAAAGAAACTTATTTCATTATATATTCCAATGCTATAATGAATACATTTCCATATACCAAAGGGCCACATTGTATCAATATTAAAAATTGAAGTTTTTAAGTGTTAGATATATAAATACATGAGAAATGAGTGGCGTGCATGTAAATCTTCCAAAATATTTTTGCTCTCATAGGATCACCAACGTCAATAAAAAATTTATCGCAATGTTATATTCTTACATTGTTTTTTGAGATGGATTAATCATATCATAATTTTGATTTATATCATTTTATCCCCTAATTAGGAGTTAAATCATCATTGCATCGAGTCATTAACACTGTTTAACCCAAAAACTGTCTGTTAATCACATCCAAGAAATATAACATAAGGAGAGAGAGAGAAAAACATAAATATGTAAAGACAGGAGTCTCTCGAGGATAATATTAATATTCCTCATGCTTTCCCAAAAAAGTCTCATTTGCATGTTGTTATTATCCTATTTATAGTAAATAAAAGTTACGTTGTGAAATGTTGATAATGTATTTGAAATTATTTATTACCAATCGGTCATTGTTACCATCAATGTTATTGTTAGCTTGTTACTAAAGTCAAATCCTTTCTGTAGTATCATCGTTTTGCTTGCTCCTAAGAAGGCGAGCCATTTGTCTACTTATTCGGTTGGCCTTTTTGGTTCAGTCGGTTGGATATTTTGCTTCATGCATGTTAACTGACTGCTCTTTGTATTTGATTTTGTGACATTTGGCCCGTCATGACCATCAAATTCGGTTCAAATAGCTTTGATCATACTAGCACCAAATTAACGTATTCTATGCTGCCCTGAATAAATATTGGATCAAACTCGATGATTCTCAGCAGTTCTTCGAGATAAATTTGACTTTTTAAGCTTTTAATTGAACAATTAATTTATGAAATTTTCGTTGGGCTTCGAACTTCCATATATCTCACTGTGCTTGGCTTCAGCATTTATCTCTGGCATGTCATCAAAATATTTGCACAAATATTTGAATTAATAATTTTATAAATTAATTTTAGAATCACACACAATTCTTATGTATTAACATATCAATCACCTTAATTTTAATTTTATGTATAATTCATTCCAGTCCTAAATTTTTAACATATAGTTTAGTAGTTTAAAGGCAAAAATTAAAGTTTAGGTGTTATGTTAATACATCGGAACTACCCGCTGTTGGGACATGTTCGTCAGAGAAACACTGATGCAGGGGTATTTCTAGAAATTCGCTTCATCGGAAAGTGAATGGTGAATGTTCTGATTCGTAATGAGCGGGACCACAGAGGAGTTACGATTTAATATACATATCGTTCAGTTCTGCGCAGGTGTTCATAAAAATAGCTTATAATTTATAAATGGATCTCTTAAAAATATATGATATGATTTTTAAACTTGAAAATTCATATAATGCAATTTATTATTATAACTTCAATGAAGAATTTTTAAGCATAGAAATTATTGTCTATTGCATTTTCTTAGAAATATTTACATATATACCGCACAATTCTCATGTGTATTTGAACTTGATATGGGACAATTAGAGTGTTTTTTTAATTTTAAAAAATATATTTTAGATGTTAGATATTGATGCGTTTTAGAAAATTCACGACGGTAGAGTAATGGTTTATTGTCTTAGCATTGCACTGGGATTCAACACACACTC